TACAAAAACATTATTTATATAATTTAATGCATCTACCTACTTTTGAAAAGTTATTAATAAGGATTAATCGACAATGTTACCTTTTATTATATTTTAAAGTGCTAATAATGCATATATCATAAAAGCTATAAACAAAGAATTATTTTAATTTTAAGCATCTGGTAAGTTTTTAAAAATAACACTATAAGAAGCCTGTTTTCATAATTATTTAAAATAACAGCATGCATTCTAAACTTTGGGTATTTGGCATTTAATAAAAATAGTTATCAAGTTTATTAGTATTTAATGAATGAGGTCTTATTTCATATTAAATCTCAGGTTTTAAAATTATCACTGGAAACATGAGTGTTTTCCAACGTCTTGCCTTCTTCCTCCTACCTGCTAATTACAAATAATCCTCAAGGCTCTATACATTCTCCCTTAGAGTTCACACACTCTCTTGGTTTTGTTTATAACATTTAAGCTGATGATTCTCCAATATTGATCTCTTAGCTGATAGTTCCATAATGCTATTGTGTACGTAGCAAGCGAAGGACAGAGAAAAATCAAGGGTGACTCTTAGGTTTTTGTCTTCAGCAACTAACAGTGAGATGGAGAACACCGAGAGAACTAGGTAGTGAATGGAATCATGACTAACTGTATCTGAGATGCTCATTAGACATTTAAGTGGACCTGTCATGTAGGCGGTTGAGCGTAAGAGTCTGAGTGGTAAATAGAATTTGGTATGTTTTCTACTTTACTTTCAGCATTTGCTTTTTACTATCAATTCCCAGAATATTCAAATAGTGATATACAAACACTATTAATATTTGGAGCAGCTGTTAAAATTTGTGATTTTGTTTTTAACCAATGAGAATGCTTACGATCCCTAAGGCCTACGCGCTGGACCTCACCCCTGCTTGCCTTCTCAGAAGCTTCACATTCTTAACTACCTTCTCCTCTCCTATACATTTATCCTTCCCTTCTCAACTGAATCCTTCCTATGTGGCTTTTAAACATGCTCAAACTTATCCTGTTAAAAAAATGAAACAAAACCTTCACTCAACTCATGATTCTCCAATTTCTCCTCACCCCTACCCTTATTAACTCTTCACAAACTTCTTTCAAGAGCAAGCCTCTACTCTCTCTCTCTCTCATCCCTTTTACTCCCCAAGCCACTCCAGTGTGGCCTGGAGCCACACCATGTCTCCAAAACAGGATTTGCTCAAGTCACCAACGACTTACATGTGCTGCTAATTCAAACACTTCTCATCTTGTTTGACCTCGCAGCAGCATTTGCTATTCCTGTTCTCTCCTCTTTGAAACACTGCCGTGCCTATGCCCATCAGCTACTAAATGACTCTCAAATGCATTTATGCAATGGCTTATAGAGCATTTTCTTTTGGATATCTCAAAGCCACTATGTCCAAAATTGAAATAATCATCTTCCTAACAAATCTGATCTTACAGGGTCATATCTCACTGAATGGCACCACTATGCCAGTATGCAAACCAGAGACGCAGAAGTCATCCTTGATACCTCCTTCTCCCTCCCTTCCTGTATCCAATTCATTACTGAAGCCTACAGATTTTGCATCTCAAATGTTTCTGGAATCTACCCATTTCTCTCCATCTTCATCATAACTATGCTGATTCAAATGTTTTCATCTCTTGTTTGGAACATAATAGCTTTATTCTTTGGCTTATTAGGAACAAACTTTTCAAAATGCAACCCCTCCGCTCCCCCTTGCGATTGCTCTTGAGATAAAGGGGAAATTTACTATGGCCTAGAAGAGGCTACTTGATTGAGTCCCTTTTTATCTCTCCAGCTTCATCTAATATCACATTCTCCAGGGTTCCTCATCTTACCCACCAGACCATAAGGTTTAAAAAGACCAAACTTATGATCATCATTGTATCTTCAGTGTTTAAGACCATTCCTTGGATATAATGGATGCTCAAATAATAATAATTTGAATGAATGTACAAATGAATCAATCTATGCATAACAAAAAAGATGTCAGTAAAATATCAAAATGTTGATAGGGAATATTTCTGGGTAATAAGATTATTTTGATTTATATTTTTTATACCTATCTTTATAGCATCCTTTCTAAAGCTAAAGGATAAAATTATTTCTTAAGTAGTGGTGCTAGGTTCCACTCTACTACTACCATTAATCTTTTAGAAAAACACTGCTTAAGTGCTCGATAATGAGTTAATATTTTAAGGACTCTGGTGAGGTAACTGTCCTAGTAACATTACTGTGTTTGGCCACAAGATGTCAGTACAGTAAGAAATAATTTTCCCAGTAACCAAAGCTCATTATTTCTTTCTGAATTCATGATGATTAAACAGCAATAAATCTGTAACCATATTTCAGAAATGATACCAAATCAATTTCATTTAAAAGCTTCTCTCCTTCTTTTCGTAAGCTACATATTAACATTGTAAAATAATATAAACAATACAGAAAAATACAGATATATAGAATAAAAAGTATGTCTTAATCCCCTTCCCCCAAATCCTAATGCTATACTGAAAATAAACCACTGTTAACAATTTTGTGTGTATCCCTCTATAGACCTTTTTCTATGCATCTATTTTTCATACAAAGAATTTTTAAAAAATATAAATTGCATCATACGATACATTATGTTTGTTACTTGCTTTCTCCACTTAATGTTTTGGAGAGCTTTCTGTATCAGTAAAAATACCTCTACCCCCTTCCTTTAAACAGTTTGACTACATTACAAAGCGTTTTAATTATGCCTCTATTAAGATGGATTGTTTCCAACTTTTCACCACCACAAACAATCCTTATACATGCCTTCTGTGCATTTTAAATTTGGTTCATGTCAGACTGCCCTCTAAAATGGCCATACCAGTATATACTTCTACCAAGAGGGGAAGACAGTGCTCATTCCCTACACTTCCATAAACACTTGGTTTTTTTTTTTTTTTTTTTTTTGACAGAGTCTCATTCTGTTGCCCGGGCTAGAGTGAGTGCCATGGTGTCAGCCCAGCTCACAGCAACCTCAGACTCCTGGGCTCAAGCAATCCTACTGCCTCAGCCTCCCAAGTAGCTGGGACTACAGGCTTGCGCCACCTTGCCCAGCTAATTTTTTTCTATATATTTTTAGCTGTCCAATTAATTTCTTTCTATTTTTGGTAGAGACGGGGTCTCGCTCTTGCTCAGGCTGGTCTTGAACTCCTGAGCTCCAACAATCCGCCCGCCTCGGCCTCCTAGGATTACAGGCGTGAGCCACCACGCCTGGCCTCATAAACACTTGTTTTTGAAGTTAAAGTGAAAACGAGGTGCCCAGCATCATGGACCAAGCCTCCTCTTGTAGGCTAGGGTCTTAAGATATTCAACTGAAGTCAAAGCTGTGGTTCTAATAATTTAGTAAAGAATACAGAAAGTGACCAAAGCCTTTTCTCCAATTATCTCTTCTAAATATACAAGATTTAAGAAAATATCTTTATATCTGGATCATGCCCAAAGTTGATCTAAACATCAGGACTGTGTATTATTTTATTGGAAGTCTAAGGTATACCAATTTACACAAATGTAATCTTATGTCTCAATGCATTTAATGCGATGATTCTTTTTCCCTTGAGATTACAGAAGTATTTAAAATTTTTAACAGGCAAATGTCAGAAAAGGCATGAACAAGATATATATGGAAATAATATTTCCTAATTACCATTCTGATAAGAATGGCAAGGTATAGGCAAGGCACAGTGACTCACTCCTGCAATCTTAGCACTTTGGCAGGCTGAGACGGGAGGATCCCTTGAGCCCAGGAGTTCAAGACCAACCTGAGCAACATAGTGAGACCCTATTTAAAAAAAAAAAAAAAAAAGCATAGCAAAGTGTAAACCTTCAAAATTAATCAAGATTTTAATATGTCAGATAAGGGACTGGATACTATACTGGGTCAGTAGGAGTAGTGGTTTCTTTTGGAAATGCCTTTACCATCAGCTTTATCTTCTGCCTTGCTGTTTCATTTACCACTTCATCTCCAATGTTGAAAAGTGTCTGGAGATAACTCAATATTTGATGATGAATGAATAAACAAACAAATCCCTCAGCCTTAGCACAGTGCCTGGTGTATAATAGGTTCTCACTTAAGTATATGTCAAACATTAACATGGATCCTGAAATGTTATAAAAGTTATAATCTCCAGCTTTTGCCATTTTACATTTCCCTGACAAACTTGTTTAATGCTGCTTTTCTTTTCATTTTAATAACTTTTACACACTTGCATTCTGTAGTTTCTTCAGACAGTGTCTTAAATAGGGCTTTCCTCTAATGAGACACATGTGATACTTGGTGGTTATCCACAGAGTAGCTGCAAACAAATCCTACCATTCTTTAAAAGCAACAGAGGTACCCAGTTCATTTTCATAATCTACTTTGAAATAGTTTACCAAAACATAGATTGTGTCCATGGGGCTTCCTGTTCTTGTAACATACATGCGACTCCCACCATATATTTAACAAAAACAAATCTTGAACTTCAAATAAATTACTATTTTAAACACTTTTCTCTTTGGAAATTAAAGGAAAAAGTCCCCGAAGATTTTAATATCCATAATTATGCTACAGTTATACTGTAGTTCAAGCTTTTATAAAAACTGTCCATATGACTCAATCACAAAAACATTTCTGATTTCTGAATTCATTTTATATTAATGACTCACATAAAATACAACACTAATGTTACTAAAATAGTCTCTGAAGGATAAGAAATAATCCTTGAAGTATTAAAAATATAGTATTGCTAACAACTCAATTTTCAAAATTAGGACAATTTTGAAATTTCATCAATGTGAAATTTTAGTTATTATCTTAAAAAAATCTGAAAGCAAACACTGATGAACTTTCAAAGGATCAATAAAGGTGACAAATCTCAAATAGTCTGATAACTAAAGAACAATTATATATGAGCTAGTGAGAATAAATTTCAATTTCATGCTCAATGACTCATTACACACATAAAAATATGCAAGAGTACCAAATCATCTCATACAACTATATAAAATACATATTTATGCATATGGTAGTAAATAGTATACAACCTTACTTTTCAATTAATTTTTAATTTATGGACCAGAAACATTTAATGGCTTATCCTCTATTTTGCCAACATTAAGACAACAGACCAATTTTGTATGTGACTTTAAGTTTGGCTTTGCATTACAAAAGAAACCTACAGCTAATGGTGCATTAAAAAAACATAAAATAAGCAGAAAAATCAAACAAAAACTATTTTTTCAAAGGCTCTTTTGACTGATACAGTTAATCTGTAAGCTTAAAGTGGCTAAGTCACTTACATAGCTTGTTCTATGTTTGTTTGTTTTTTTCCTTTAACAAACTTTAACGAAGTAAAGGGAGAAAAAATAATTTAATTTACCTTTATGGACGAAGCTGCATAGAGCATGTCTTCCAGGGTGAAATGGCAACACTGGTTCAAGTATTCTTGGCAAAATTCTTGAATCAGCTGCAGATTATACAGGCTATCAGCCAAAGACATAGTTTCTTTCAAACAAATATCTTCAAATAGGAAAAGAGTAAGGTGATGACTTTGGGTTAACTTGATAAAAACATTTCATATCCATTTTGTAATTGGTCATTTAGTACAAATACACGATTATGTGGAACTTGTTTAACAGACATACATTTTCAGATATAGTGGTCATTACACAGAAAGACTAAGAAACCAAGCACTACTTTTCTCATAACGTCCTCAGAATTATACACAAATATTCTTTTTTTAAAAAGCTGTCATTACTTGTTGAATATTATTGTCTTAAATATTTGTTACTATCTATCTGTAGTTCAGAACTATGACACTGGAACACTTACCCTCCAATCTGACAACACCAGGGCAGTAAAAGTGAATGAGGGCAGCTAACGCGCAGCCGTCGGTGCCGTCCTTCAGCAGGTTCTCTACCAGTGGGATGCAAGGCAATTGCTTAAGCAGTGTTTGCTCTTTCCTATAACGAGCCTACGATATAAAAAAAGATATGAAAATAAGTAAGTACTAAGCAACACACAGGAAAAAAATTAGTGTTGTAGATTCTAATGTATTAGTAATAAAATAATTCAAGAGAAATGAGAACTACTCACCAATAGCCTTCTTTCTTAAATAATGGTAGGCATTACCAAAATTAAATATACAGCAACAACACTATAGCTTTGCAGCTAAATAGTTAATATAACATATTGCTAATTTACATGAAATGATGTTTAACTTCAATACTTAAATACAAAAGCATCACAAAGCAGATGTGTAATACTTTGTATCCAAACCGATACTATACTTTATATCAGTTCTGCTCTTTTGATAAAATTCATTTTCTTTAACGCTAGACTTAATTTATACTCAAAGTTCTTAAACAGATAGACTGAAAGTTATATGGGAAGAGCAAGAGTACTATTTGAGCAGAAAGAATTACAAGAATTATCAAAATCAGGGGGCATGTAGAAGAACATACTATTAAAGGAAATTTGGAGATAAAAAAACATCACTTTGAGGAACTACAATAATATCACCAAAGACATTCTGGCTTCTCATTCGAATGTTGAAACAACATAAATAGTGTTAACAACTTTGAAGAAAACCCTCCTAATTCAGGTTTCATTAACCAATAATAGAGCCAAGTATAAGGGTTCCTGCTCCTCCTCAGAAAACCACAAGAAACTTTCGTTTTCTAAAGATTGCTTGGTGTGGCTGGACAAATTTCCAAGACAGTTCTCTAAAAATAAGCCATGCTGTAAAGGTGGCTAAAAGAACAAGCTGCTGGGTCAGATGACCTGGGTTCAGATCCTGGTTCTGCCACTCATTAGCTTTGTGATCTTGGACAAGTTACTTAAACTCTCATTTCTCATTTTCCCCATCTATAAAATGGGGATTCTAATAGTACGTACTTCATAGAACCACCAGAGGATTACAGATGATGACGGACACAGAGTGCTATGCGCACTGCCAGGCACAAAACAGGCAATCAAGAAAGGTTAGCTGTTACTAGCGTCTAGCTCTCCTAAAGCCAAGAAAAATAATGCTCAAGATTTAGTGAGAGTACATACTAAAGTATTTTATTAGCAAAATGTATGATAACATAGGTTACTGATATTTAAATATTTTTTAAAAAGGTAATCAAAACTATTTTTTTCTAATTCCATCTAAACTGGCCATTCTCTATATTTTATAATTAAAATACAATTATGAGATAAAATACTTTTGTGAGAATAAAAATAGAAAAATAAAAACTTAAAGAAAAATTTAATAGTTGGTGGTAAAATTAGATTTCTTTTAAATAATATCCATCAACAAAGCATATACATTAATGAATAAAAAGATATTTATTCCTGCTTCTCTTTCACTGGCTGCCCAAGGATAAGATTCATGGAACATGTTTTCCTCTTGAAGATTTTTGGAGGAGCTTGTTCTTATTCATCAGTGCAGGCTAGAATCTGTATTTGATGGTCTGTTCTAACTCAGAGGGTAACTATATTCAGGAAAAAAAATCACATGCAATATATAGATTCTTTAATTCTTTAATTAATTTATTCTTTAATAGATTCTTTTTACATAAGCCTTAGAAAACTTCCTCACTGCTGCCAGGGGATAGTTGAAAAATCAACCATGGGGAAGGGAGGGGATGAGAGAAAGAACAAAGAAATCACCAGCATCATCTTCTAGCGTTAGCACCTTTCTCACATTTGGTAAGTACTGTTCCAGAGCCTTACATTCATCTCTTTGGTCATTTAGAATCAAAATAGGCTGCCTCTTGGACATCCTCTAAATTGGGCTAGACTCAGTCCCAAACTTCCCAGATCTTCCCTGGGACTGGTTTATTTTCAGTCTACAATCTGAATTGGACTTAGCCAAGGTCATGGAACAAAGAACTGAATGTGTGATCTGTTGTATTCCCCCCTGCCAAGCAGCACTTCTGGACGAGGTGTACACACATGCACACGCACACACACAGCTTTACAGAGCAGCGTTAGCAAGAGATGTCCACAGTTTAGATTAGACAATCAGAGAATTATGAATGGCATGCCAAAACATTTTCCTGAAGATTATATCCTACAAGATATACCGGGTAAACTGACTTTAAATCTTGAGGTATGTGCAACTCTCAGAAAGTTCATCTGTAGTTCATGAACTACAGTTCATGAAAGCCTTTTTATACTTGAACATGCTATATGCTTTATAAACTCACTGCATGAAAACATTCCCTGTTCTTTCTACAAACTTCAACACTTGGCATGTAAAAGGAGTACCTATTTTCCGTATTTTCAACATTATGGTGTATTTCTGAATTGTATTTTTATTCCTGAGGGTGTAAAACAGTTTCTTAAGTGGTTTAACGACCACCACCCCACCCTGATTTAATCCTGAGAGATCAACCCTTCAAGTCAATTCAGAATTTGATATAGATTAGGTCCAATATTGGTGAGGACACAGAGAAGCTTTTGCTTTTTTAATCACACAAAAAGTTAAACGTCCCCTATAATTCAAGCTAAAAAGGAAATGATTCTGTCAAAAGATGATTTTAAAATAGTTAATTTACACATGCAATTCAAACTTACTTTTGCTAAAATTATTAAAATCAGTGAGAACCTACATCCATAGGATTGTTTTGTTTAACCTATTTACTGATGATCTGTCAGTATTGATAAGACTAGCAAAAGGATGTTTACCCTTTAAATCACTTTTAAAACTTCTAATCCAGACTTTGGCTAGATCTGTTATCTTTCCATTTGACATTATGACCAAATACCTTAAAATCTAATCTCTATTCAGTGACTAACAGAATTATATGAAATGACTATACCAGCAAGACACACACGATACCATTCTACATATTACAGTTCTGGAGAGCAAATTGAAGTAGCTGGGCAAACTTACTGGAACCAGTTTCCAAAACCATTTGGAAGGAGACTTCAGAGGAAGCAGCAGAAAAAAAGGGGAAAGCAAAAGGTAAAGGGAAAATTCATCAGAATTATCTTCAATTAACAAATTATAGTAAAGCTTCTGATAGTGGAGTTCCAAGTTTATAGCTCTCATAACATTTATTTTCAGTTAATTAATACTTCAGTTAAAAATATGTAAGTTCCTAATGATAAAGACCACCACCTTCTCCTCCCCTCTCTCCTCTCCCCATACAGAAATTCACTTTAGGATACCTAGCGTGTGCAATACACTTTGGCAGCGAAGAATTTACTTCTGAGTTCTGGAATCACATATCAGATTAAAAAATAAATGCATATCATAAAAGGGAAGTAAAAAAGATTCTAGGGCTAGATTTGCAATCATAATTCTTAGACATTAGTAGAACAAATCTGGTAAGGCAATATTTTTCCCAAAAAAAGGGAAGAAAGGTCATTTCAATAAAAATAAGTATAAAGCAAATAACAATGTAGTACAATTTACTAAGATCATTTCTTTCAACTATATAAAAAGTTTCTTTTAATTAAGGGGGAAAAAAACTAGTTGGCAATTCTTACCAATTAAATTTTTGTTAAGTCTCTAAAGTAACTACTTATATACAGAGAATATAAATATTATTAATTTTGCTATTTAGGAGTTCCCCCCAAATCTAATTTTTCTCTTTAAAAAATGAATATAATAAACTCGTAATTTCAGATAATATGAACTAATAATTTGTGATTATTTATCTTTGTATATCCTGGAAAAAGTTCTGGCAGCTCTGAATAAATATTTGTTGAAGTGAACCAAACTAAATGGAATATGCATTAAAATTCATATTCAATTTTTATGTAGAAAGTTTTTCCTACATAAATTCACATGAAAAATAAGATTACTTCGCAAAATACTATCAAATAAGGTATTTTCAAGAAGTTTAAAAATAAGAAAAACATCATCTCAAGAATCAGATTACTACCAGCTTCCTACATATAAATAACATTTCCAATAAATTTTTCTTATAGCATCAGGAAGATTAACCCCAATAATCTTGCTGCATGTAATAATATTTTAATCTCCCATTTAGCTGGAAATTTTTGGCAGCTGCAGTTACAATAGCCATAAAAAGTACAAGAGCAGGAAACCACTGAAAATGTGTCAGTGTTCCCAATTTATAACAGAAATTTTAAAAATAGAGGAGTTTTTTGGGTTTGTTTTCTAAATTAGAAGAATCCATTGCATAGAAATTGGTTATAAGATGCAATTATCGTGGACTATTCATAACAGCAGGTGTGCGAAGGAGTCTCTAATGGCTCAAGTTATTCCATATTTCTAGTTGTAATTTAAAGTACTGTATTGACATTAAATTACCTGTACTGTGGTTACATAAGTGAATAGCCCTGTTCTTAGGAAATATACATTCAAATATTAAGGGGTAAAAGGGCATGATACATGCGATCTTCTTACACACGTTTTAGAAAAATTTATGTGTTTGTGTCTGTGTGTAGAGACAGGGGGAGAGAGAATGATAACGCAAATTTGGCCAACTGTTAAAAAAATTGATGAATTTGGGTAAAGAGCTTATGAGAACTCTTTTTAGTATTCTTGTAACTTTTTGTAAGTCTGAAATTATTTCAAAATAAATGTTCTTAAGAAGTGATATTAAGTCTACCAATCCAAGTCTTGGTAAGGTCTTGTGTCCAAATGCACAACACTGTTGATCTATAAAACTGTTGGAGAAATCTAATTGTCATAGTACCCTTAGGCAAATATTAAAACCGTGGTACCCTCTCTGAATTCAAAAGATGTTTAAAATGCCAAGTTCCTCACTTAAGTATATAAATGAGTTAATAATAGAACAGGGACATATTCTAGATTGGGGTGGTGTGTTTCCTGCAAGGGCAAGTAAATTATTATGAAAGAGAAAAGGTATGTTGACAATACACACACAAAAAAAGAAATGAATTAGCATCAATCAAAGAAGCCCATACTAGGACAGATTTGTAATTACAGAACAGAATCTTAGGTGTAGGATTCTAAACAAAATTTAATTTAGGCAGGCCAAATCTTCACAATTTTTTGACTGAAATAATGATATGAAATAGGAAATCAAGGTAAATCTAAGAGTCAAACAAAATGATGCACTGTATTTGAACATTAAATGTTTGTTTTAAATATTTATACATGCATTAAATAGATAATCAAGTATAAAGCTATAGGTTACAAATCAATGTTTTCCAAAGTATGCTCCAAAGAACACTAATTCTATGGGATATTAGTAGATGTCATTCATAAAAGAGTTCAAAGATCAAAAATATTTGGAAAATAGCTAGAGAGGCTCTTTGGGCCCTTAATGTACTAAAATGGATGGTAACATTCTTAAAGGGGCATAGACTAGGCAGCATTTCCCAAATATATTTTACTTCTGAGACCATTTCTCAAAAAGTACCCTGAAGTACTATTTGAAGAAACAGAGTTTGGGGGAAAAAAGTGGGTTATAGTTTTTAATTGCTAAGGAACTTTGGTCAAAAGAGAAATTCGTATGGGCTGAAGTAATCCGGCAAAGACCTATAAGCTTTCACCTACTCTCTCCCAGGGGGGAAGTGTAGTCTACATTGAGACTATACCTTCGGGTGAAAAGCAATTAGAGCTCAGTGAATGTCTTTTCTCCTAGGGTAATTCCTTCATCTAATTCCCACACCCCTATAAAATACATCACAAATATTTCTTTTCAAAAAGTGGCAAAGGCCACATTGAGTAGACATGTGTCTTTGTAGGAACACTAAAGTTCACTCTGTATATAGTTAATATTGGAATGCAAACCCACGAATTCATAGCTCTTTCAAAAATGATCCTGCCAAACTGGTCTACTGAGTAATTCCCAAGCGTGCCTTTTACTTGCAACTTAGTGTCTCTGTTCCTATTGTTCCCGATGACCTAGTGCCCTCCTTTCCAAATATCATGAAGCCTACTAAGGCCCTGTTAAAGTCCCACATCCTCTAGAAAGCACTCCTAGATATTTCACTCACACAGTTATCATAAATCTACTAGCAATATACATGTAGAAAAGTCATGACAGCCAACTACTTACTATTTTTACCAACCTTTTGTTTTTGAGTCCCTTATGTTTACTAACGTATTGAGAAGGGAAAAACTAAGAATTTTTTAATCATATAATTTAAGAACCATTCAATCCAAAATGTTTTAATTTTTACAGATTAAAAAAAATGAGGCCCAGAGAGGTCAAGTGCCTTTGTAAAGGTCATGAAGCTATTTAGTGGCAGAACTAGTCTGACTTTAAGTGCAGTACTCATTTTACCACAGCACTTTATACAAACTTTTCAAGAGAATGAATGTTGGACTTAATGTCATCCTTGCTATAAACTTTAGAGATCTTTAAAGTAGGCTTTCTAGATTTAGCAAATAAAAATACAAGATGCCTACGTAATACAAGACAACAATGCAACTTACGCTAAAAAATTTTTTGTTGTTTATCTGAAATTCAAATTTAACTGGACACACTACTTTATAGTCAAAAGGAAGCAAAAAGAGCAATTTGGAAAAACACAGAAAATAACATCACTAAACTGTTTAAAGAAAACTTTTACCATTTTACTAGGGCATTATACTATTTAAAATGCCCTTCTCTTAGGACACCAACCAATCCAATCATGAAAGGACATAATATCCTAAAGAAATACCTTCGGAATCTTTAATTTTGGTCCAACCCTAATAATATACAGTAAAAGTATCCTTCAACATATGCATACATTTTACCAAGAATATGGCTATAAAAAGAACTTTTTCATAAAACGAATTCTATTGGACATCTGAGTTGAGAGTAGTTTGGCAAGGACAAAAGGTAAGATATGTTATCATCCAAAACCATGGCTCTGTCTACAGCTAGATAAGTAACAGACACAGGGCTAGGCAGCTGAGAATGCCTCACTAGGCAAGCTAGCTAAAGTAGATGGAAAGAGTGGCGACTTCTTATCAACTATATAATGATAAGAGCAAGTCATTTTATCTCTCATTTCTAAGAGAAGAAAAGGATCACAAATCATGCTTTTACAGAATTAAAAAAAATAAAGAATGGAATGACAATATTTCCAGCCAAACCAAGAACATAGTTCAAATGCCAAAATCCTGTTGTCAGTAACAGTAAGAAAGATTCCTTTCCCTAGCTTATTCTGTGACTGTGTTTCCTCATAATGGTAACACCTGTACCTATGCAATAAGACTGTGAAATTAACACTTGTTTTCACAAAGATTCTAACAATGGAAAAAAGGATAAAATTCATTTGAAAATGAAGATATAAATGCTATTTGCTATAATAAAAATATGTACTAATCCAAATATTTAAAATTGAATCTCACAATTATTTCTTGATTTACTCAATCACTATTCAACAAATACTAGTTAATATGTGCAATTGCATGGAGCTAACTGCTATGAAAAAGTCAGAGTGGTGTCTAGATTCCATTAAAGGTCACTTAATCTCATTGTTTGAAATACAAATTGCATTTTTTCCATAGAAATAATGTGTATTGGGTCCTCTGTCAGCATATAAAATCTCCATTTCGTTCATAATATATATGCAATACTATAGAATTTAACAACTGCATATAATAAACAAGATTTCTATACAGAACTTTCATTAGTGTTATAACTTAGAATGATGCCATCTTTACCTTATTCCTGATAAGAGCCTGGAGAAAATTGGGGGGCAGGATTATATATACCTTCAAGGCAAAAGTTTCAACTCTTATGGTATGAAAAAGAAAGGAAGGGAAACTAACGGCAAAGGACTAGGGGACAAGAGAGGGAAGGGATGGGGACAGAAGTTGGCTGAAGGCAGGAAAATGAAACGTGTAATCTGGGGTGATGGGAAAAGAGGAGAATTCCATGCTGATACACCTTTAGGGGAAAGGACCACAACAGAGTTAAGACGAAATAGCAAGCACAGACTGTATTTTCAGGAGCCAGTCAGTAAGCTAGATGGGGAAAATTACTGTGATCCCAAACCATCAAATTTAGACAAAATTTTAGGGGGTCCTCCACAAAATTTTTCTATTGGAGTTGGTACAAAACAGCTTTTCTTTTCCTTTCTTTTTTCCCCTCTCCCTCTTTCCCCTCTTACGGAGGTATCAGTGACTAGTAGAATAAGCCCCAAATGAATAGTACTGTATACAACAATGAAGAAAGTTTAATCCTAATAGAAAAGAAGGTCTCTGAATAATTACAATTTCTTATATCTCACTTCTAGTACTATATGACATGTTTAAAAGGTTCTCATTACAAAACATTTTAAAAGACATAAGATATTCTATATTGTAGAAAATATACTTTTGATCTTAGTATATGACAAATACACAATTCAGTTTTCAAAGAAGAAAACTCTTAAAGTCTGTTCAAGAATGTTTAAAGAATAAAATCATGTTAATGTTTTTTCTTTCTTCACAGAATAATCATGTTGTACAACTTGAAATTCCAGGAATATTGTTTTAAAGGTTGGTCTTACTGAAAGTCATAATAAAGGCTGATACATTTAAATTGTTTTCTTGTTGTTTCATACATTTTACCAAAGAAAGGCAAACTGTTATATTCACCAAAAGAACCTCAAAACTTGAGTTCTAGTCATTAACAAGTTTTTCACAAACACCATCAGCCAATTAACTTTCATTTTGTACTTGTATTTACTTAGTGTTTATGGCATGGCTTTTGAGGGTACACTTACACCAAAAAAAAATTTAATAAACACAATTATTAACATTTCCCCAATTAGTGCATATATGTAAACATATATACAGTCTCATAAAGGAACCCTTTTGTCTTTGAAATATATACCTTTTGACCTCCTGGAGCTTCAACTGTGTGATGTTCTTTCAATTTTTGTTCTTGTTCCATTATATCTTTCAAATGTTCATTTACCTTAAAATATAAAAATATTAGTTTGAATTTATATTCGAATATAATGATAAAATATTACACACCTAAAATACCTATAGTCAGATCCCTGATGTCAAATTTCAGTGCCACTCAAGTAAAATTTATTTTCACAACCAGAAAAATATAGTTTACAAGTGCTTTATTTGATATTCTAGAATTAATTCATTAATTTATCAAACAGTTCAGCACCTACTATATGTCAGGAACTTACTGGAGTGCTAGAGAAAAAATGTTACTCGATAATGTCAGTTTTAACACTTAGGAAGCAAAATAATACTATTTTAAGTAAAAATCTTACAATCTATTTTGGAACTAGTAAATGAAAATCATTTATCTTAGAATTAATGTTTTTATTATCAATAGAAAACTCTGTGCATCAAGTTGAGCTGTGATTTCACAGACATGTCCAGCTCCACTCTAGACCTGCAGAGTCAGATCCTGCATTTTAATAGGTTCTCAGGTGCTAGAGTTTGAATGTTTGTCCCCTCTGAAATTCATGCTGAAACTTAATCCCCAGGGTGGCAGTACTGAGGTGGGGCCTTTAAGAGGTGATTGGGTGATGTGGGCAGACACAATCCATGGATTGATGGGCCATCACTGCTGGCCTTGTAAGAGGAAGACAGACCTGAGCTAGTGCGCTCAGCCTCCCTCGCCACCTGATGCCCTGCGCTGCCTCAGAACTCTGCACAGTCCCCACCAGCAAGAAGGCCCTCACCAGATGTGGCCCCTTGACCGTGGACTTCTCAGCCTCCATAACTACAAGAAATAAATTCTTTTTCTTTATAAATTACCCAATTTCAGGTATTCTGTTATAAGCAAAAGAAAACATACTAAGGCCCCAAGTGATTCTTATGCACGTTAAAATGTGCGAAGAACGGAAACAGAGGACTAACAATCACGAAAAAAGGAAGAAAGACTTCCAGAGCAACAAGTATTGGGGAACTCACCTTTGATGGGAAGGAGGAAACTTCCTCCATTCTAACAGTGGGAAAAAAGGGGCAATGTGTGCTGATGCAGAAAGGTGTACAGCTTGGGTAGTACGAAAAGGAGATCATTCCCACCTACTGGCTTCCCATCTCTGGTCTCAAAAAAGGATGAGGCAAAGTTAGCTAACAGTAGTCAGCTGAGAGCAATAGGGAACGAGTTACAGAAGGTCTGAGGATTAGAGGAAAAAAGATGAAATAGTCATCCTGAAGAGTGGAAAAGCAAACTTCTTAGGGACACACTTGTCGGACTGGCAGTGAATGGCCGAGTGTCCCTCTGAACTTTGTGCTTATGAATTTAAAGTGAAACCAGCTTCCCTGTATAAATTTCTCCAGCAACATTTACCTCTATAGGTGGAGGTCAGAGGTAAGAAGGGTAACTGAGCTCAACCATCTGAGCTATTAGCAGATGAGTAACAAGGAGGGAAGAGGAGACAGAAGAACTGATGGTAATTGTAAAAATCTAAGTTCAAAAAAGGACAAATGTGAAGTCAAGTGATACTGTGAGAAGTTAATAGGTGAATGGTTTGGAAGTCATGATGAAGTTGAACATTTTTAATGGTAGGGGCCTTTAAAGCAAGTGAGTTAGAAGAATAGGAGGAATTGTTCGAGAATGGGAAGTTTGCAATGGGATGTGAAAGTTGCATAGTTTCTGAAGATGAATAGGTCTAGGATGTGACCATGATTCTCTATAGCTGAGGAGGAGTGGGGAGAAAAGATCACTAAAGAAGAAGAAATAAAGGAAGTCCAGGGTCAGAGTATTAACTACCTAAATTAGCAAAGGGAGTGATAATTGACAATTTAAGCATCTTTAAAGTAGAAATCACAGTCCCTCCAAAATTTCCAAGAGCAGGAATCCACAAAGAATATGATCTTGTGCAACTTACTCAAGCAAACCTAAGAATCCTCTAATTGGAAATGTGAGAAAATTATTTCATTCTTGGATTCAAAAAAATATTTACTGAGTATCCACTGTGTATAGTTCACTATGCTGAGTGTTCTCTTTGAATTTTGTAACGATCTGATATGAACTAGATTAATCATTACTAAATGCAATTATAGAGATTACTGAATATATAGAAATCTATTTTCATCATTTTAACAGTTTCTTAAAATCAAAAAATTTACGTAAATTGTACAACTTCAGCTTGCACTTTGATTTAAAATAAAGAGTAATGAAGTGACAATGTATAATTTAGAATTCACGTTTTCCGGTTATGAGGCTCATTTTTACTCAAGTGAGCATAGTCCTACCTTGTTTATCCAGTACATGACAGCATCCTCGATATCATAGGGCAGATCCGTGGCTTGGAAAAAAGCCGAATACTGTTGAGCACATGCAATTACTTTTTCTATGCTGACCATTTCTACAGTGTACGCCATCATGAGAGTATCAATCATGGCCAAATGTGCACTCTGAAAATATAAAACAAAAATAGTTTAAAAATAGCTTAGAAATTGCTGTTTATATATTTTGAAATGTTAATAACATCTCCTAACAAGCAGCAGTAGAATTAATAACTATAGAAGACAGGCTACGGTAAGAAAACATGCTAAAGATGAGCTAACTGAACCAAACTGATTTGTTACTCAAATTTATAGAGGATCGAGTTTAAGATGCTCATTATCTTCTATTTCAAAGATGCTCTTTTTCCTGTTTTTCCTATTTGATAGTGTCATAATCATTTACACAGCAATACAATTTACAAACTTCAGAATCATTTTTTATGATCTTTCTCATTCTTCAAATCCACATAGTATTATAAAAGTTTACAGATTCTACTCCTAAAATGTCTCTCAAATCTATCCTCTTCCTTGTTCTGATTGCCACAGTTCCAATTCAGACCATAAACATTTCTCACACCTGAACAAGGCAAAAAAATTCTTTAATTGATTTTCCTGCCTCCAGCTTGTTGCTCATTTAATTCATCCAGGACAGGACTTCTAGTCTTTCCTTTGGCTTTTTCCCCCCAATATACAAACTGTCATATGGTGGTTCTTTAAAAAAATCCCCAATATTACCAAGTACATAAAGTAGAAAGTGCCCCCCCCCCAGCAATATTTTCAGTTTGGTATGTATTCTTACAAAAAAGATTAATGCCCATCAAACAGGTACGCATTTACATTGTTTGGCAATACAAACAATGCTACAACATTGCATTTCTCCAGGGATAATTCTTTGTTTTGGGGCTACTGGGTCTAAGAGCAACCACAAGTTTTGATAGATAACCACTAATCTGCTCTCTAGAAAGGTTATACCGACTTTATCTCCCACCAAGAATGTTATCAGCATGCCTGTTTCTCCACATTTTTGCCAACATTAGATATTATTCACTTTATCTTTATCAGTATGAAAAGTTAAAAGACCCCACTCTTGTTTAACTTGCAGTTCTCTGATTATTACTGAGGATAAGCATCTTGAATGTGTCTTAGCAACCATCTGTATTTCTTCTTTGGAAAACTGCCTGCTCATACCTTTTGCCTATTCTTCCCTTTGGGATGTTCATCTTTCTTAATTGATTTGTAAGAGCTCATTATATATTAGGTACATTAGCCCTCTGTCATTCAGGTAGCAAATATTTTTTCCTAGTTTGTCTTTGGACTTTCAACTTTAGTATGTCTTTTGCTGCAGAGTTTTAAATATTTACTTGGCAAAATCTGTCCATCTCAATGTTCTCCTTTATGGCTTCGGAGTTTATACCAGTTTACAAAGGTCTTTCTCCACCCAAAGAATATAGAAATACTGTCCTCTATTTTTTCTATTACTTTAAATACATCTGGAATTTATTTTTGAACATGTAATAAACTAGGGACTAGTGGTTTTTTCCAAATCAGAGATAGCATCTTTCTTTCATAAAGTGTATCTCATGTTCTACATAAAGTCTGAACTCCTTACTCCTTACTTAACAGGGGTAAAGCTCTATCTTATTAGCTGGTTTGTACTTACCAGGCTAGCCTTATAACCTACCATTTCCTTCTCCAATCTATACTCCTTTCAAAACAGCCGCGTAAGACTGCTGTTCCTCAAATCTGTTGCTGGTTTTCAAGCTTCTGTGCCCTGGCTTGTTACTGCTGTCCTTACAATATAGACCAAGTCATGCCATTGGTTTGAATGTTACCCTCACTGTGAAGCTTTTTCCAATTCTCTTTCCAATCAAAATGACTCATTCTTCCTATGAACAAGTACACGTTCCTATAGAATGCAGTTTATGCTTGCATGCAATTCTGAATTAATTATCTAAAATAGGGCATAGGCACTGGGGTGTGTTTAAACGGCTCCCCATCCTATGGCTTCTCGGCCTTTTGGCTAAGATCAAGCACAAACAGCTCCCCAGATGATATTACTGAGCAGCCAGGGTTGAAAACCACTGATTTATCTCACCAGTATATAGTCACCTGCATACAACTCTATTTCTCTACGTGGACAATAAGACTCTTCAGGGCAAGGACATTATCTTAGTTATCTTCCTACTCCCTACATCTAACACGGTACCTGGCAACTAGCAGGGGTAGTGGGTCCAGCCTCTAGAAAACTTAGCAGTATTCATAGCAAGGGAGATGCTTTGTCTGAAGCAAAATGCTTAATTTTGGCAATCGTAAAATCAATGGTGACTCCTACTTATTAAGTCTAACTTATGTGCCAGATACTGTCCTAAGTGCTTTGTTAATGAACTCTTTCATTTCAAATATTTTTTGAAATACGGTTAGAGATAATAGATAAAATAAACCTTCTATAATCCTCAGAACTCTCTGAACAAAGTATCATTTACATTTTATATGTAAGGAAACTGAAGTTCAGACAATCAAGCAGTTTATCCAAACTTGCGTGCTCTTTCTACTGTATCTTGTGGTTGGGCAGGAGTTAAATCATTTAGTTGCAAAGGGAAAAAAATATGTTTTGGAAATGATAGAGACATAATGTGCAAGAAAAAAATAAGCATCAGTATTTCAAATTAAAATGATATTATCATATTCTACCTCCTCTAAGAAGTCTTTTCCAGACCGGTACTGTCAGATAACCCAGTTCTTCCTTCAGACTCAAAGTGTCATATCCTTTCACTCTAGTCATTTGTCTTTATACATCCTCTGTAGTAGCTCTAAAGAGCAGGAATCCTGTCTTTTCACACCTTTGTTCCTAGACAGTGTTTTATGGGTGAAAGCTCTTAGTAAGTCAGTATTTAATAGCATTAAAAAGCACAACGCTTTGGGACAAAAATGTGGGAAAACATTTCAAGAGCCATAAAACCATTCACGTACTCTTAAGACTCCTTCTCTTGGCAATTTGTTCTACAGGTATATGATAGAGGGGAAAAGAGATATATGAATGAAAATAATCATTATAGCACTATACAGCAAAAAGGAAACATGTAAACATCCAACCATGAGTAATTTATGATATATTAAACTATTTATTGATAGGGGAAATGTGTATAATATAAAATTGGGTGGAAAAATCAGGACGCCATACTATATTAATGAGATATGTATGTGTGTGTGTATAAATATATATATATATATTTATATGCCGTGGTCTGTGGCCTGCCAGGAACTGGGTCACACAGCAGGAGGTGAGGGGTGGGCCGGCAAATGTGCAAAGCCCCACCTGCACCCACAGCCACTCCCCATGGCTAGCATCACTGCCCCAGCCCCGCTCCCCTCCACACACACACCCTCATCAGATCTGCAACGGCATTAGACCTGCACAGGAGCAGGAAGCCCACTGCAAACTGTGAAACTGTGCACGCGAGGGATCCAGGTTGCGTGCTCCTCCTGAGAGTCGCATGATCCAAGATGGAGCCAAGCGTTGAGCATGGTCATCCCTCACCTCGCCCCCTTCCCCAAGGCCCCCGTTGCCATCCGTGGAAAAGCTGTCTTGCACGAAACCAGTCCTGGTGTCAAAAAGGTTGGTTTATATGTATGTAAGAAACAGGAAGGGAACAGAACAGAAACAGGAAAAATAGAACACCATACTATAATAATGTTTGATATCCTCTCTCTCCCTCTCTCTACAGGCAGGTGCCTTTAGTCCCAGCTGCCTGGGAGGCTGAGGCAGGAGGATCGTTTGAGCCCAGGAGTTTGAGGTTGCTATAGCTAGGCTGACAACACGGCATTATACCAGGGTGACAGAGCTAGATTCTGTCTCAAAAAAAAAAAAAAAAAATCTTATCACCAGTCATTATATGTGACACAATGTGGTCCCTGCCTACCTCTGGGATCTTAGACAGGTTCGTCTAACCAATTTGCTAGCCCCATGCTATGTTTTCTGTTCCTAAATTATGACAAGCCTGTTCCTGCCTAGGAGTTTTGCACTTGCTGGTTCCTCTGACTGAACGGCCCTGCCCTCACTTCTTTGCATGCCTAGCTTGTTTCTTTTTTCTAGTCCCATCCAAAATACCATTTCCTCAGAAAGATCTTCCCTAAAGATTGTGCCTGCCTCCCACCCTAATTATTCTCTAACAAATCATGCTTTTTTTTTTCACGGCAGTTACCACTATCTCATGCTGAGTCATTCATGTTTCTCTCCTGTCTACTATGTTGTGCGCTCTTCGCATACTCATCTCACTCCAGAAAACATACTTGACGCAAAGTGTCCTTGTTCAGCTTACCCAGGGCCTAACACAGAGCAGGGCGAAATGAAGGAATGAATATTAAAACCACGAAGAAACCAGCTCCCAACAGCTTTACTTGTACTGACCATTTTGTCTCATCCTGCCTTGCACTTGCCAATGATCCCTGACTTTGCTTTGTCTCCTGCTAATAGTCTATCCTTATCTTCTCAAGCCTTCTATCTGATACTACTCCCTCGACATTTGGCTCCACTTGTCAATTACGATTCACACTCACATCTTGGATCAGATCTCTTCTGACCAGTTTCGTTTAGACATTTCACCTGACCTAGTTAGCCCCGGATACCACATCCCCCGATGGATCCTCCAGGTCTAAAGCTCCGAGGCATGGAGGCAACACAGAGGACAGGCTGAGTGAGTAGGCTCTGGAGTCTCCCTGCCTAGGGCAAAGCTTGGCTCTACCAGTGATCTTCCCTGTGACTCAGGACAGTAAATTTACTATCTCTGTACCTTATTTTCCTCATTTATAAAATAGTACTACAGACCTCAAAGAATTGTTAGGGATTAAATAAATGAATAAATGTAAACGGCATAGGACAGTGCCTGCACTTAGAATTCTATAGACACACCTGTTGTTATCTAAAACACAACCACTCTGACCATGAAAGCAGTAACTAGTATCAGACTTGCCTTCCTGCCATAAACAACTCAAAAACTGGACAAAACATATAAAACAACTATTTTCAGACGTTGGACCATACACAACATGGGGATGTGATCCCTGAGAGAAAGGAAACAAGTGAGGGCCTTACAGCCACCTCAGCTTTCTGACGAAAGGCACTGTATGAA